GAAACAGGTGATGGGGATTAAGGAGTGCACCTGTCCTGAGGAGCACCGGGTGCTCTGTGGAAGTGCTGAATCACTATACTGTACACATGAAACGAATATTATACTGCCTGTGAACTGGAATTTAAATAAAAACTTTAAATAAATAGATAGATAGATAGATAGATAGATAGATAGATAGATAGATAAATTTAACTCCTTTATAAATTGTTTCATTTTCTTCTCCCCGTAATTGCTTCAAGTAAAAAAGATTATTACCAATTGTCAGGCTTTCTCTTATTATTCTGCCATTTCTCTTTTGGAATCCCTCCTGGCTTCCTCATACTACAGAGATCCAGTGTCAACATCATTCCCTCTGATGTTACCAGCCTTACTCTTGCCCTTTCCTAAAAAGCCTCACATTCTAAAACCAACAGAAAAATTAAAACCGGTATTACTTCCAATGTGAAGATATGGAGAACATGAGAAAAAGTAATTACTTTTTTTAAAGATTCTTTATTTATTTTGAGAGAGAGAGAGAGGGAGAGAGAGCACACTAGCAGGGGAGGGGCAGAGACACAGGGAGAGAGAGAATCTGTGCTGTCAGCGCAGATCCGGACTTGGGGCTTGACCTCACCGTGAGATCATGACCCAAGACAAAATCAAGGGTCAGACACTTAACTGACTGAGCCCCCAAGGTGACCCTTATGAAAACTACACATTTATTTAGTGTCAAAGCTGGATAGTACTCTGGCCTCCAGGTAAGAAGGCTGTCACGTTGAGTTCTTTCGCAAACCAATCTTGAACCAAGGATTTAGGTGCAAAGAGTTTAATTGGGAAGTGATCTCAGGAGGCATTATGAGTGAGAATGTGAGGCAGTTTACCTCATGGACACCTGGGCCCAGTCTTGCTGGGACACCTTTGAGAGATTGTGGGAATTAAGAAACACCTTGGGATTGTCCTACCATGGGCCAAGGATTCTTGGGCATTTATCCATCATCTCCCATTCCTCATGGGTTAATTAATGGAAGCTCTCAGCACTAACTCTGCTTCCTTCCCACCCCCAAACTAGCTGAGACTCTCTTGTGGCAGCAAATGTCTTCAGACACAGAGAAGCCATTAGTGTATACAGAAACTGTCTGCATGACACTTCCAGGGCAGACCAAGGGGAAGAGGGTTGCATAGTGTCTACAATAGGAGTGCATGATCCACACATGAAATGTGGTCCAGTTTGACATCTAGCACTGGATCTAAGTTCTTTATCAGATGTTCACTTAAAACCTATGTGACAGGGGTGCCTGGGTGGCTCAGTCGGTTAAGCGTCCGACTTCAACTCAGGTCACGATCTCGCAGCCCGTGAGTTTGAGCCCCACGTCGGGCTCTGGGCTGATGGCTCAGAGCCTGGAGCCTGCTTCAGATTCTGTGTCTCCCTCTCTCTCTGCCCCTCCCCCATTCATGCTCTGTCTCTCTCTGTCTCAAAAATAAATAAACGTTAAAAAAAACCTATGTGACAAATTAGCCTCTTTTCATCACAACTTTCACATGAAAATTAGAACACAGTTGATGTTTTATTTTTTTTCCCCCTGGGTGCAGAGTACCTGGATTACCATAGCTATAGCTGTCCCCATACTGCTCCACTGTAAACTGCTATGGCCAAAATGGCTGTGAGGGCAGCAAGAGCGAAGGCCAGCCTTGTTTGTTATTGAATCAGAAGCTCATTACATAAGAAAAGAACTCTGCGATTTAGAAGGAACAGTATCTTGCATCTGCAAAGAATAACTTCCAAGCTACCTCTGAAAAATGTTATAAAAAGAGACAATAAACTTGAGTGAGATGCAGATTTAGCAGGAATGAGTTGAAGGAGCAGATATTTCCTTTCAAAGCCATGAATCCAAGAACCACAGAATCCTAAACAGAGTTGTCAGATAAAATCCAGGATGCCAACTAAGATCTCAATTTCAGATAAACAGTGAATAATTTGGGACATACTTCCACTAAAACAGTATTTGTTGCTTATCTGAAATGCAAATTTAACTAGGTTTCTTGGATTTTTATTTTCCAGATTTGGCAAGCCTACTCTGGACCAATTATGAAGGTTATTCTGTGTGTGTGTGTGTGTGTGTGTGTGTGTGTGTGTGTGTGTGTGTTTCTTGATGGACTGAGCAAGCTCTTGTTCCTACAGTAAAACCCAGAGCTAGTTTTATAATGGCTACTAGAATGAAGCACTTTCAGAATTCCAACTCAGAAATAACCGTCACTATTTGCCGGCAACATGACTTTAAACACACAAGATCCTAAAGACTCCACTGAAAACTGTTAGAACTAATACATATAGTAAAATTGCAGGATACAATAACATTATACAAAAATGTGTTTATACACAGGAACAACAAACTATCCAAGAGAGAAATTAAGAAAACAACCCAATTTACAATTGCTTCAAAAAGAATAAAGCGCCTAGGAATAAATTTAACCTAGGAGGTGAAAGATCTATATACTAAAAACTACAAGATATTGATGAAAGACTGAAGAAGACACAAATAAATGGAAAGATATTTCATGCTCATGACTTGGAAGAATTAATATTATGAAAATGTCCATATTACCAAAGCAATCTACAGATTCAATGCAACCCACATGTAAATTCCTACGGCATTTTTCACAGAACTAGAACAAACAATCCTAAAATTTGTACAGTGCCGTAAAAGACATGAGTAGCCAAAGCAATGCTGACAAAGAAGAACAAAGCTGGAAGCGTGATCTTCTCTGATTACAAACTATATTACAAAGCTATAATAATCAAAACAGTACGGTTTGGGCATAAAACACACACACACAGATTGAGGGAATATAATAAAAATCCAAGAAATAAATGATGCGTATGTGGTCAGTTAATTTACATCAAAGGAGGCAAGAACGTACAATGAAGAAAGGCCACCCTCTTCGATAGATGGTGTTGAAAAAAGGGCAGACTCACATTTAAATGAAACTAGACAACACTTATACCATACACCAAAATTAACTCAAAATGGATTAAGACTTGATGTATGAACTGAAACCATAAAACTCTTAAAAGAATACATAAGTGGTAAACTCCATAACAGCAGTCTTGGTGATGATATTTTTTTTTTTTGGATTTGACTTAAAAGCAAAGGTAATAAAAGCAAAAATAAACAAGTGGGACTACATCAAACCAAAAAGCTTCTGCACAGCAAAGGAAACCATCAACATAATGAAAAGAATAACCTAATGAATGGGAGAAGATATTTGGAAATCATATACCCAACAAGGGGTTAATATCCAAAATATATAAAGAACTTAAATGACTCAACAACAAAAACACAATCAGATTTTAAAATAGGCAAACGATCTCAATAGACATTTTTCCAACAGGCACATCAAAAGATGCTCAACATCACTAACCATCAGGGAAATGGAAATGAAAACCATAATGAGCTCTCACTTCACATTTGTTAGAATGGCTATTATCAAACAAAGAAAAGAAAAGAAAAGAAAAGAAAAGAAAAGAAAAGAAAAGAAAAGAAAAACACGAAATAACAAGTGTTGGGGAGGATGTGGAGAAAAAAATAACCTTGTCCGCTGTGGTTAGGAAAGTAAGTTTATGTAACCGCTATGAAAATCAGTATGAAGTTTCCTCAAAACACTAAAGATAGAACTATCATATGATCCAGCAATTCCACTTCTGGGTGTTTATCAAAACAAAATGAAAACAATAACTCAAAAAGATATATGTCCTCCTATGTTCATTGCAGCATTATTTACAATAGCCAAGATATGGAAACAACTTCAGTGTCCACTGATGGATGAGTAAAGAAGATGTGGTATGCGTGTGTGTGTGTGTGTGTGTGTGTGTGTATGTATTTATACATACATATATACATACTGCAATATACTCAGACATAAAAAATGAATTCTTGGTATTTGTGACAACATGGATGTACTTTGATGGTATTAAGGTAAGTGCAGTAAGTCAGACACAGAAAGACAAATACCATATGATTCCACTTCTATGCAGAAGATAGAAAACAAAACAAATCTTACAGATAAAGAGAACTAAATGGTAGATGCCAGAAGGGAGAGGGGTGAGGAGGTGGGCAAAACGGCTGAGGGACAAACTTCCACTTCTAAAACAGTAAATCATCTGTATGCAATGTACAGCCTGGTACGACAGTCAGTAATATTGTAGTGCATGTTTGAAAGTTGCTGTGAGGGTCCATCTTTACAGTTCTCATCACAAAATAAAAAAATGTACAACTCCGTATGGTAAGGAATGGTAACTAGACTTATTCTGATCATTTCACAGAGTAAACAGATTTTTGAATCATTATATCATATACCTAAAATGTGTATTATGTTATATGTCAATTTTATCTGAATTTAAAAAATGGATACTGAAGAAAAAAAAGAAATAAACCTGTAGAAATCCTACTCACAGAAACAACAAATGCTTTTTGGCAACCAAAGAGCATAACTTGTAAATATACCAATAAACTGAAAAAAGATACGATGGAAGTATTGCAAATTATAGATTCTATAATAATAATAGATTATTTGCAATAATAGAGTCTGTATTTCACAGAAAAGCAATGTTACAGATGTTCATTTTAATCAAACTTCACCTGTTCTAAGACTTTCTGAACTGAAGGTAAAAACGTACAAAAAAATCATGCCTTATTAGTTAAATTTGCATTGCAAGTAATCCCTACAGAGTCCCTCTTCCAAGAAACCAAAACTTTAATAAATCACATATCCAGTGTTGTTGTCCTCCAGGAATGCATTTGATATTTTTTCAAATATGAAAAGCCTAATTATGCCACATTTGAAAAACACAAACGTTTCAGAAAATATTAGGTAAAAATGACTCTCAAACTCTTCTTAACTGAAGCTTTAATTCCTTCCTACCTGTAAACCCTGATATATGTATAAATGTGTGTATATAAAACACATATGTATACACAGAGTTTGTTCTCCAGAAGAAAGCAAACAGCATTAAATATACTAACCTTATGTTGTTGTACTTGGCGTTTTAGATCTTCAATATCAGGTCCAAGGGGCTCTTTCTCCATTTTCCTTGTTCTCTCTTCTGTTTTAGTTAGCCAATCATTTAACTCTTTCAGTTGCTGATTCTGAAGATCCATTAGAACTTTATGTAAGCTGAAAATGTGAACGATGTCTATTACTACCGCTATCAAAATAACTTTACTTATTATTATTAAACCTAGAAGATAAAACTGTTGATGTTTTAGTCTATGGCATGTTCACATTGTTTGGTATCTCATAGACATTAAGAAGAGAAGCAGAGCCCATGATTAATCACCACTGAAGTTATTCTTTCTCCAGCTTATTATAGTTCATACATCTTGAGTTTTAGAAAGTTTCACACAACTAACTGTGAACATGTTAAGTGCGACCCATCTCTGATAATTCAACTAACAGCATATCCTGGAAATGGTTCATTTAGACCTCCATTATTTTAATATGTATGGTGATTAAAGATGGCCACAAATTTTTTGCCACTCTGCCCCAGAATCTACTTCCCATCCTCATGAATATGGACTAGCCTTGTGATTTGTTTTGACCAACAGAACATGGCAGACGTGATACTCTACGAGTTCCAAGTACAGATGCTGTAAGGGAACAAGGAAGCATTTATACTCTGTCTCAGAACCCAGCTGCCATGGTGTTAGAAGACCAGGCTACACTCCTGAATGATGAGAGGCCATGTTGTAAGTGACTCTAGAGGATAAAATGCTATCTTAAAAGTTGAGCTTCCTGCTGAATGCAGGCCAAAGAGTGACCTCAGCCATATCACAATTGCAGAACAACCACCACCGAGATGAACCCTGGCCACATCCCTGCTCTACAGAATCATGATGTAATTATAAAGTATTGTGTTAAGCCACTAAGATTTAGAGACATTTGTTATGCAGAAATAGATAAGTGACACAGATGTATTGTTTACAAAGATGTAAACAACAGTGGGCTGGGTAATGAATTTAAAGCCTGGCTATATGCCCTAAAACCAACTTAAACCTTCTCAATTAGATTGCCAGCATCAGGGACAAGGGACAACATCTTGCTTATCAATCTGCATGGTGAGGATGAAAATTAAAATAGGTTATTTTATCCATACAATAAAAATATGAGACTCAAATGAGAAGTGTTAATACCTATTTTGAAGTAAATGTTCTTCATGAAGACAGGTTTAAAGCATTTTTAGGAAACTACAGTATGCTGAACATTACTCTTATAACACTAATAAAGAAGACATAATTTGAATTAGGAATTTACTATTGTGATTTGTAAAATTTTTACCAGAAATTTCCATTAGTCAACAGGTTAAAACACACAAAATACACACATAGTTGAGGGTTTAATATAATTTAGATTTCACCATTTACTGATCTTTTACCTTTCACAGACACATGTTCACTGAGGCACACTGCAGTCAAAAGCCTATGAGAATAAGCTTTCATTTATCAAGCAAAAAAGGCAGTCATCTTCTTTTTATGAGAAGATGAGAAGTAACATAAATGAAGAAGCACCCATTTAAGTAAAAGCAAAAACTCAAAGATGCCAGTTTAAGCCTCTTCGATAAAGAGTATCATCCTTACATTGTAAAGTATATAAATCATTCACTTTATTGGTTCAGTCTACCCCTTGAGAACTGACCCGAGAATAAGATTTCATGAGAATTAGCTACAGTACCACTCTTTACTTTTGTTGTTCTTCCTGCCCAGTTTGTCTTTACATTAAGATACAAATCTCACCTTTCAAAAACTGAAGAAAAATGCCCACAATGTTATTTATACTTGAAGAACTATTACAACACACATTTGTTCGAGTTAATAAGCAATTTAATTTTAAAATACTTCCTTCCTTTTTTGTAAACTTTTAGACAGACATTTCATTCAACAGATATTCACTGAATTCCATACCTATGCTGGAAACTCCTAGTGAGTAGGATGTCCCTGTGGGGAAGCCTCTGTCAAGAGTGAACTTTGTATGGCTTTCCTTTGGCCTTTAAGAACAATTTTTTTAATGTTTATTTTTGAGATAGAGTGTGCCAGTCGGGGAGAGGCAAAGAGGGCGGGGCAGGGGGGCGGACAGAGGATCTGAAGCAGGCTCTGTGCTGACAACATGGAGCCTCATGTGGGGCTCGAATGAACCATGAGATCACAACTGGAGCCAAAATTGAATGCTCAACCAACTGAGCCACTCAGATGACCCTAAGAATAATTATTTTCACTATAATGTTCAGAAATGTTTTTGCTTTCCCAAGGCTGTTACTTTAGAAACTCTTAAGTATTCAGTAATGTCTGGTCACTATTTACTGCTTTCCGTGCAGGCGTTATATGGAATAAGTTAATAGGTGGTAAAAGGTGCTATGCTTCCTCTGCTCACTGAGGCCTGCAAATAGACAGCCTCAATATATGCAGGTGAATCGCAAGCCAGAGTTCTCAGAACGAGCAGCAGGGAAGTGAATGAACAGTGGCTCCTGGCAATGCCTGAGCAGAGACAGAAACAACCACTAGGAGGCACTGCTATCAGAAGCCTGTTTAGAAGCCTTTGCAACACAAATGCCCCTTTTTTAAATGTGGTAGAAGAAGAGGTAACTTTAGAAAGGGGTGGGGGATAACTACCCCTTGGGTGAAAATATCTTTAAAATAAATTTTTAACTATATTGGTTAACATGTATTCAACACTTTTCGTGTGATAACTCTGTAAGTAACCATAAAATGCACTATTTCAGTGGATCCTAAATGATGGAATGAGATCTATTTGTGCTTTGCAGAATGATTTTCATGGCAAAAGGAAAAACTTATGAAATTATTTTAGTATGTCTTGGCATATATCTATATGGCTGAACAACATATGCATGTGTATGTTTGTATACACACGTACATACAGTGAGTCTGCATATAACTTCAATGCATATATAAAATCAAACAGTTTAGGATGAAGCTAAGTAAAGATAATTATTTTAAGAAGGATTCTTAAATATAATAAAAGTGCAGGGGCAACTGGGTGGCTCAGACAGTTAAGTGTCTGACTCCTAATTTCATCGTAGGTAAGATCTCATGGTCTTGAGATCAAACCCCGTGTTGAGATCAAGCCTTGATGCTGACCCTGCTTGCAATTCTATCTCTCCCTCTCTCTCTGCCCCTCTGTGGCTCGCAATCTCGCTCTCAAAAGAAATAAATTTTTTTTTTAAAAGAAGAGTGCAGATATGAAAGAAATTGTGAAGGTGGAACATGACTGACATGTTTGAAAAACACCGAATAATTACATTTGGTCTTCATTATCGCTTACTGAGGTAGATAATACCATTATTCTTTTATTTCTGAGGACAATGGAATTTGGGAAGGTTAAAGAACTTGCCCAAGTTGTCTCAGTGACAAGCTAAGACAGTATATAAATGCTAAACTATCTGGGACCCAACTCTGTGCTCTTAACTTTGACTTATCTTCCTTCTTTATGGACTTACCTTCCTTCTTTATGTTAGGTTGAGTCATATGAAGCTGCTAATACATGAGTTTTCATTCCATGAAAATGACTATTTCATATTGTTCAATTTAAAATATTATTAAAGTGAAAAAGAAATTCTACATTTCCAACTAACATTCTAAAGATGCCAATAAATTAGGGACATTTGTCAAATTCATAAAATAAAAATCTACCACCCATGGGCAAGAAAAGAGTTTGCTTTCTCCTTGGTTTCATTTTATGGTTTTCAGGTGGTCATTTGGAAAGGCCTGTAAAAGCGAAAGGAAAATGAAGGATAAATACGTGACTGGCAATGGAGGGAGAAGACCATGGAACCAGAACAAACTAGCGCCAGACTGGAGATAGTTCTGACAACATCTAGAGGCAGAAGCATGTCAGGATATGATGCTGGGAACTGCTACAGCCAACTTCCAATTGTAAAATCATTTAAGGACATAAGGAAGCTACCAAAACCAATAAACTGAAAGGAACTAGAGACTATCATGGCAAGTGAAATAGGCCAGTCAGAGAAAACTATCACATGATTTCACTCATACAATGACCTAAGACATAAAACAGACGAACAAAGGAAAGAGACAAACCAAAAAATAGACTCTTAAATACAGAAAACAAATTTGTAGGGCACCCGGGTGGCTCAGTCAGTTGAGCGCCCGACTTCGACACAGGTCATGATCTCACGGTTCATGGGTTTGAGCCCCCATGTCGGGCTCTGCACTGACAGCTCAGAGCCTGGAGCCTGCTTCGGATTCTGTGTCTCCCTCTCGCTCTGCCCCTCCCCCGTTTGCACTCTCTCCTCTCTCTCTCTCTCAAAAATAATAACTAAACATTAAAAATTTTAAAAGGAAAGAAAAGAAATTCGGTAGCTGCCAGAGAGGTATTGGGTGAGGGGATGGATGAAATAGGTGAAGGGGATTAAGAGTACACTTAGCTTGATGAACACTGAGAAACATATAGAATTGTTGGATTATTTTATTGTATACTTGAAACTAATATAACACTGTATGTTAATTATACACTAATAAAAAAAAAAAAGAAAGAACCTCAGATTTTGATGGCACTATGGAGTCATATACTTAACGTATAGCTATCGCACCAGAGGATTTATTGTAATATAAGACAATGACATCCTTATGGTTTTAACCAGGGCTTCCCAAACTTTAATGTGCATACAAATCACCTGGGGAATATGTTCTACTGTGGATTCTAAGTCTAGAGAGGGGCTGAGAGTCTTCATTTGTATGCCCAAGGGATACCAATGCTGCTGGTCCATAGATCACACCTTAAGAAATGATACTATAAGGCACTTGGATTTGGGTTATTTGTTAGTTACAGTGAAAAAGCATTTTAAGGAATACCATTTTCCAAATAATTTTACTGAAGATCTGTCTCTCACTCCACACCCTGCTTCAGGGACATAACCTCTATGAACATAAAGGAAATTGGTGCAAACACAGAGTCTGCTTTACAGAGACTTTGTTGGACTGTAGAAAAGCATTTCTACTCTAGCCAGTACTGCCCAATAGATCTTTATAACAACGTAAATGTGTATCTGCATTATCCAATACTATAGCCACCAGCCCCGTGTGGCTATTGGACACTTGAAATAAGGCTAGTGTATGTAAATGAGAAACTGAATTTTTACCCAT